TTGGTGCCTAATGATATTTTTCCGAGGCAAGCATTCCTTCCTCAAATCGAACCAGATTTTTTTTTTCGTCCTCCTTCGAAGAGCGTACTTGAGGGTTTGAGGAAAGTGTCACGGATTGATGATTTGATTTTACCTGCACCTGTGGAGGCATTCCATCGTGATTGCTGACCACGATCCGGAGGCACAGCGATAAAAAATGTGTTTCCCGCATCGCATGGGAAAAGAACGTATGGTCGTTTGAATCTGAGCATGATCCGCGGTTGGAAGCTAAACGTTGAAGCGTGATAGATCACGTTGTCGTCGTCCGACCCGACGCTCTGGAGACACATATTTAAAGTAGCGAAGATTCCTGTTGAGAATGTAATGGGCTGTCTGAACGATCCGGGGAGACAAATTCGGAGCCCGGAGCAAGAATTCGATGACAGCTGTTCCATCTCTCTTTCTCTCTGGCGCGCGTCTGACTTGAGCCGGTCTTTTTCGGTAAATGTGATCGTGTTCCGGACGATTTATTTCGCCTCCGGGGCATCCTCGCTGTTCACAATTGCTCCCGTGTGCGTTCTCTGATTGACTGATGCCATCCCTGTGAAAGAGTCCCTTTTTGGAGAATTCCGTATGGCCCGCCGAGAAATAGCACGCAGGGATAGTCTCCGGGGTTTAGCTGCGTTCGATTTCAATCCAGGAACCCAAGCTAACAAAAATCGATCCTTGTGAATTTTTATCATCAATTACAGTACTGCTTATTTTCCTTGGGCTGGTTTTACTTACTGATGCTGCTTTTCTGCTGGCGAAGTACGATTGCTGTCTTAAAAATTGAGTTATTTCTGCGCTGCCCTTGTTGGATTATTCGACATGGGTGGAAATGGAAGAAATGAATGTAGCATCGTAATATGTGACCATTTCTTGAAATGAAGGAAATTCGTGAAACTGGAATTACAAAGTGTTCGAAATGGAAATTTACGTGATACACTTCTATATTTTATTGGCTTGCTGGCAGTCTAAGGGCTATAACATATCTAGGGTCATTGAAAGAAGTTACTTATTCGAAATTTCCCGGATCTGACAGTTTTGATATCTTGAAATCAGTATACCGTGTGTATCTATTTCACAATAGTTCGAAGAATTCTGATTTAGAAACTTGGGTACTGAAAAAATAAAATGTCGAGTCTCAGCGAAGGGAAATTTTTGCTTCTTCGTATAAGTCGTTCTGATGAGCGTAGGTAATTTCTATTTTTAAGAATACGTATTGATCCAGAGCCACTTTTTCGGATTTCCGCTTGGCCACCTGGAAAGAACTGCTGGTCATTTGGAAGGCGAAATTTTATTTTATATTTTTATTTTAAAATTTGGGAAATACTCAATTCTGTTCTTCGAATTTTCTCTACGCAATTTTTTTTTTCGTGCGCGCGTGGTCGTAATGAAGTTCTGTATTTTTTTAAATTCAGAAATCGGAGTACAATATCGATTTTCCACCTTGAGTCGGATAAATCCCTCGAATAGTGTTGTAAATATTGCCCTTCGGTGATGTAGTACTTGAATTTTTTTCGAGTACTACGCGCTTTTTTCTTTCTTTCAAAGAACGTTTAATATAAAAAGTGCGATTTATATTCGAGCATGAATAAAAATTTTGATTCAAGGAAACTTTTTCATTTCTTTGTGAAAATCGTGGTCTGCTTTATTCTCGAGTTAGTATGGCCTCAGAATTCTTCTGAAATTCTCGCAAGCCTCTCCTTGCGTTTGTCGGATTTTTTCCACCTTGGGTTTCTTTGTTATGCTTGGAATGGAAATATTCTAGTTTCCGCAACGTCGAGGGCATTCGAAACTTGGTTTCGAAATCATCTGACCTCCAGATTTTTAGTTCATAAGGTGCGATTTTCTAAATTTTCTTCCTTTGAATTTCCTTTCGTAGCTTATTTTCTTGTCACTTGATTTCTATGATTATGTAACTCTTCAGACGGTAGGCGTTTGTCGTTCCTTCTTTGTAGGAAGACGTGACGTTGTAGTTCGTAACATTTAAATTCGCCGGATGACTTGTCAGTATTTTCGAATCGGTTATGTCGTGTTTAACACGAGTAAAAAATTGGACTGAAAAGTTGGATATTATAGAGAACACGTAACGCGATGAAGATACAGTACTGTATTTCCGTGCTCTTCACCGATGCTTTCGCTTCTTAATCACGTCCGTTTGTCTCTGCTTCACAAACCCGAAAAAAGCACAGTGATATGATGACCGTATCATGCCCATGATTGCATCTTTGAGGTAGTTGTTGAACGCTGCGTTTCATCATAGTGTAGTATGTCTACCCGACCACTTTTTCGGCCGACCGCGGACATTTTTAGTCATACTCCGTGCGAAACTTCTGAATAATTTTTTTGCGAGCAGCATTCAAGATTTGTACTACAAGTTTCGGAAATTTGAAACGACTACAACTCCTCTGATTTCATTACATTATCCTCGGGAAAAATTGTCTTGTCGATTGGATTTTAGGACGTACGTGGATGATGACGATGTAAGCGTGACACAAGCTGAAAACCGAGAAAATCGGACCGTCAACGAAGTTACGGAAACAGCGTAGTTGAATTTAATTTCTTCTCTGGAATCTCTCACGGATTTTCAATTGCTTATATTTTCCCCTTGCAATTCTTAAGCTGCTCTCCTCTTGAATTGTCCTCCCTGTCGGAACTTCAAAGACTTTGGAAGTTATCTCGATTTTTCTGGTGATTTGTAAATTATTTTTCTGTCTGCTCCAATGGTATCGATCAAAAAAATCATTCTAATCCTAAAATTAGCGTTATTTATTGGAGTGTTGAATCAATCTCGTAGGTTCACCTTGTACTTTGAGGTCGAATAGTACGCGGAAGATTTGGCAAACTTTGGTTGAGTGAGCTTTGGTCAACGCGACGCGGTTTGCTGCACACTTCGAAAAGACGCGTCCGGAGAAAATTGGGAAGACGATCCCGCCCGCGGCGCGGATCGCGGATGATCGCCCAAGTGGATCGATCGGTCGTTTGTTTTTCATCGGTCCTGTACTCCTGTGGGTATACCTCCTAGTCTTCTGCCTTCCTGCTTCATGTGCGAGGGTTTATTCACAAGTTTTTGTGTGTCTTGGGCTACCCGTGTTGAAATTTCGGAGGTAGATCTCATTTTTGTCGAAATATTTTATTCTTTTCTTTCCACGATTCCGCTTTATTCCTTGTCCATGTCGGAATAAAAAGAAGCCCAATCACTTCGAGAAAATGATGATTTCCTGCCAAGCTTGTTCTATAAAGTTACTCGCAGTCTAGGAGTGTCAAGTATTTTAAATGTACTAGGGGGTAGGGGAGTTTATCTGTTATTGTATCCCAGATTCGACAGCCATTTTTTTACGAAACACAAGGGTTGATGTCGGTGATGCTGATTTCGAAATATTCCGTAGAATTCCGTAGGTGAGAATCTAGACGACGAAGCTAAATTTGCCGTTCGAGAAATTATCCGATAAACGGAGGCTAATTCCCCAGGAATTTTGAAAATCCTCACTCAGAGAATCAGGTTATCCCAAGAACTGAGTTTGAAACCATTGCCGAAATCTTCGAACCATATCCGTATGCTTCATCCGAAAAAAAAGAGCATCCTCTTTATTGTGTCCCGTATTCTATGAATGCTTTTCAATACGAAGTTACTATTGCGATTCTTTCCAATTTGAATGTTATCTCGAGTCGAAATTATCGTTCATTTTTTCAATCCGTATATTATAGAAACATTGGCTATATAGAGTCTGGGAAATCACCAGGCGTGGACTTGGATTGAAAAAGAGACCGCCGCGTGTCGGTTTTAAATTTCCCAACTCGGTGTTCAGATCACTGCTGTATATTGAGATTGAACCCCGTACGTGCGTATCATTTTTTTTTCGTACGATTTTCCTCCAGCCTTCCTTTTGTTTATGTTGCTTGGTGAGATTATATTACTAAATTGCTGCCTCGAAGAGAAGTGAGATATGGACTAGATTTTTTTTTTTTTTTTTTTTGCTCGAAGTGCTATCCGAGCAACGTTGGGAAATTTTCTCACCGAGCGATGCCATGCTATAATCGCTCGGCAATTTATACCCGCTTTTCCTTCAGCCTGCGGATTTGAATTTTTTATTCAAGCTTGCCACTTCATGATTTCGTTCGAAATTTTTTAAAACCTTAATTTGCTCATTTCGCAATGTGCTTACCCCCAGAAAGAAAATTACAATACCTCGTCAGTTAAATTGTTTTCTCTTGAGAAATTCTCATGCATTTTTTGCCCCAAGATCGAGGTTCTCGGCAATTTTTTAGAAAGTTGTTTGCAATCGTGGTCGTTCTTTTCTTATAATTGTTGAAACCACCTATTATCTTACAGAAGTGACGCGCTCGGACGCCTTGGTTCAATTACAATTCGAGGAATTAAAATCCGTTATGTAGTTATTTTTAATCCTTATTTACTCTACGCACATCCGTTGGAATTTTTGACTGCACGCAAATAATCGTACGAATAAAATTTTCTTCGTACGATTATTTATACTAAAAGTATTTCGAAAACACGCTAGTGGATAAAGCGGAGTCATAAATTTTCAAAGGTGAAATTCAAACGTTGTCAAACTCCGTAATTGGACAGGAAACGATGATATCTGCACTGCGTAGATCGAAGAATGAATTATCGGTCAAAAACATAGGCAATTTTCTAAGGTAGAAAATTTGCGACTGTCGCATTGAAAATGTATGTGTGCTCAAGACGGTAGACGTAATCGTGATGGAAAACGTTTCGTTCTGTAGTCGTTATAGTGCGTGTCGATGCGTGTGACTTTTCGACGTAATTATCTGTCATTCTTCTTCGCGTTTTTGGTACTTGTTGACATGTTCCCGCGATTTCGTCTTGACCGTTGTCTAATTTAATTCTGTCTCATTACGAGCTGTCAGTGTTTACTCTCTATTCGAGATAATTGCTCGCGGTGCTTGAGCGACTTAACGCCCGAGTTCCGGGGAATATCCGGCTTACTTTTGCAATGTTTTTGTGGCATCTCGGAAATTCACTGTCCATGGCTGGCTGCCAGTCCGAAATTAACGACTTAGCGTCGCGAAGTAATTAAGGTGCATCCCAGGGGCGCTGCGTAATCAAAGCAATCAAAGCCGAGATAATTCAAGAGATATTCATACGCGAGTTGTCCATACCGCGATAGCGCTAATTTGATAGCCCGACGTCTCGGTCTTGTTCTTAAAACTGGAATCTCACTGTACCCTTTTTGTACGTACGAGGCATTCTTTTCATAGTTTCCAATGTCTTGCCTGAAACGTCAGTCAGATTTTTGATATTATTTTAAGGATTGGTGTGAATTTGCGAGCTTCTGGTTTTGCGCTGAAGCATTCTTTTCTACCTTGAACTGAACCGAGTTCTGGATGATAGCGTCGGACATTGATGCAGTACTCTGAAGATAAGAGGGGTCTTATGTCAATTTTCCTGTGGAAAATCAATTAACGAGGCATGTTCCACGGGGCAAATTGGGACATCGAGACATTTTGATCCAATTTTCAAATGTTCAGACTTAAGATAAATTTGGGGGCAAACTTTGAGCAGTATGTGCCTCTAATTCCTCCCGAGTTAGCAGCCATTAAGTGAAAAATTCTGAGTTTTAATTTTAAGGCTTTAACTTTGAAAACAATTTAATTATTTATACTTGGCCTGTTTCGGTGATAGAGTTTGTATCGATGCCTGTTCATGGGATACATGTTTCGAATTTCGGCTCAGCTTAATTTTCGAAATGGATAAAGATTGAAAAAAATGACAATTTTATTGATTAGCTTGCTTAACCCTTGGGTTGAAGTAATATTATGTGCTGGTCAGTGAAAGGAGTCAAGTTCTATGACGAAGGAGTAGCAACGTGTCAGATCGAGGCATCCACCGAAATTTCCGTATGCAAATTTGAAAAATTTTCAAAGGGTTGCATTCTTCTTCTTGTGTTTTCGAAATTAGAAAATCGGAAAAAAAACCTCGCATAAAAGTTGACATCCCTTGGTTGGGTTACTTTCCTTGTTTTTCGGTAAATTTTATTCCAATCAATCATGTAATCTTCGCATAAATAATTTGACATATTTTCCAATGCAACCCCGCCCCTCTTCCCGCCCTTCCGAAAAAAGAGAAAATTTGCTCCAGAAAAAAAACTTGACACCATTTCTCTTCCGGCTGCTTTTGCTTTTGTTCATCGCGGAATAAATGGGGATTTTTTATTTATTCGCAGGATATTCGTTGCCACCTTCGCCGCCTTCGTCGTCGCACAGCAGCAGCAGCAGTAGCAGCGATTCGGAAGGTAGCCTGTCGCCGCCGCATCATCCCGCGTCGCCCGGGACGGGAATCCCGACGACGGCAACTTTGACGTCGGTGGGCACGAGCACGACGGCCGCCTTGGCCAAGGGCATTGTTGGCACGCTTATTGCTCGACCGACGACGACGTCTTCGTCGACGTCGGTCAACTCCGCCGCCTCGCGCCCGACGTTCCAGCGGATCGTGAAGCCGACTTTCGTCAATAGTCGCCAACCGATACAGACAACGCTTATTTCCAGCCAGGTGAGCATTTTTTATATTAACTTGCAATTTTTCATTTGCGAGAAAGAACGGAAGAATTGGAACTTCGGATTTCAGATGCATTGTTCATCCGAAAAATAAATATTTTTTTTTCTCTTTTTCGGTTTTTAATATTTTATCAACTCTTTTCGTTAAAAAAAAGGTTTTTGATGACTCGATTTCTTCTGGATCAGCAAATAACGTCAGAATTTAAAATTAATTTTATCTTCATGATCATGGATAAACGCTCCAGGATTTTCATGTTATTCCAGCTTAATTCTCCAATTTGTCTGACGGAAATGCGAGAACTTTTCGTCACATTTTGTTCGGTACATAGGAATAGACTCATTTTAGAACTACGCGACTGTGCTTTGTGTTTCATAAACACTTCAGAGTTCCAAATTGAGGAGGTCTGACGATAGCACGAGAAGTTTCCAGGAAAGACTCGAGATTTCTCCGTGCGCTTGGCTTTAAATTTGAAGTAAACTCGGTCGATGTTAATGAAATCTACGCCCGGATAATTGCGGGAAAATGCTTGCGATAGTTCCGCTTTTTAATTTTGTAAACTTATCGAATTTAGGTCAGGAAATACTGGTCGAATTTGCCCTGGAATGGCGGAAATGATGGAGCGAGATAATCGTGTACTATTTAAGCTTGATCCGCGCATGCCGAAAGTCCCGCTGCGCTCGGTGAAAGGGCTGCGTGGTTTTTTTTTTTTCTTCTTTTTTTTTTCTCATTGTAGCATCGGAACGTGGGCCATAGTTCGTTATCCATTTTCTTCTCTTTTTCTTTCTCGCTTCGATAAGGACCTTTTTGGCATTCCAGCAGTACCGCGACCGCGACGAAGTGTTTGTAAATTTAATCGGAATGCGTCCGGGCGGAGATTAATCCGACTTTCTCGCTGTGCGCATTTGTCATGCTCAACGAGGTCTGAAATCCCGGCGCAGATTATTTGGCTCAAGCGGAGGAAGAAGGGGGGGGGGGTTTCTTTTCGGCGCCCTGAAAAGGAGGGTGATTTATTTCGGGCGAGTTTGATCGGATCGCGGTGTAAATCATCGCCTGGCGACGATGTTTGATGTTCCCTGGGGGCGCCTTCACTCTTTTTTCAAAATTTTCTGTCTCTCTCTTCCTCTCTAGGCCGGCGGTTCCGGGATCCTGGTGCTCACCGAGGAGGAGAAGCGGACGTTGATTGCGGAGGGCTATCCGGTTCCGACGCGATTACCGCTTTCCAAGCTCGAGGAAAAGTCGCTCAAGAAAATCCGACGGAAAATCAAGAACAAGGTGAGTCCCTGCTGTTTTTCACTCTTTTTTTTTCTGTCACCCATAGTCACCCGACCATAGGGATCCATAAACTTGAGTGTCATGCTGGGAGAGAAACATTTGTCTGTCGTGCTTGTCCGTGTTGTAATACATTGTGATTGCGGGCCTTTTCAAAATTTTCCCCGTGGATTTTATTACTTTTTTGTGATGCCGTAATGTTCAGGTACCACTTCCAAGGTGTGCCCTGTGGCCAATCTTCAGTGGTGCCGGATCTTCCCTAGCTGCACTGTTATATCCAATCCGGAAAAACTTCGTTGTAGAGATAACTTCCTTTATAAGGAACCCTCGTGACATGGCGAGAGAAACATACGGGACCAAAAAAAATGTGTGACACAGTAACGATAAAATCGTAGACAATATCGTTGCGGAGAGAGTCCACCGGCATTAAAATAACACTGTACTCTATGCGGCATTATAATTTGCTATTGCTATAATTCGGTTTCGAATGCTGCCAAAAATTACTGAGGTGTTTTGGGCTGTCGGGCGAGTAATGCTCAGATGTAAATTTGTACTCAATGTTTCTGTTCGCACGCTGACACTAAATCCTTCGGCGAAAAAGCGCTAAGCCAGCATCTGCTTCGTCTTTGCGGCCACGTTAATTGCATTCCATTTTTTCGAGTTTATTCTAATGCGAGCTAAAAAATGAAGACGGACTCTTTTCCCGAAAATGATAAACCATCAACGGCTGTTGTATTTTTAATAAGTGCTCGCGAAGGCGGCGAATGTTGGAAGATCAGTTTGGTTGACTCGAGGCGTGTACGCAGTTGTTCGGCGTTTTCGGGAATTGAGTTTTTCAGGACTAGAAATGATGCAAACGTGACTCGGCGAAAAACGCGACGAGTGACGCCCGGAACAGGAGAGGCCCGGGATAAATGTAAATATTTACGAAAAAAAAAAAGAAATTCGGCAAATGCGGGAGTTGAAGAGGAATCTCATCAGGCATTAGTCAGCAATAGCCGAGGCCTGTCCTGGGCACCGAACGAACGTAATTCGCAAAGCGTGAAGCGGCGAAACGCACACGTGAAAATAGCATTCATTGATTGAGTTGTCTCGCCCGAGTAAGAGAGCCGGACACGGTTTAGAATGGGAAGGCTCGGTTTTGCGTGCACTTTTTTTTTGTGGATCCTACTCAATTTGCCCACCCCATGCCCTCTGCTGTTCCTTCCTCGACGGTTTGAGCCTTCACCGGGCCTCTTTTTGCACGGTTTCTCATTATGGAGAATTCGCTGGTGAGTAATGAGCGAGTTCTTTCTTTGGCAACGAACGGCGCGTTTGACCTACCTACAAGCGAAGTCACGAAAGGAAAGGCGGACTGATCGATTGATTTTTAGAATACGAAAGTCTTCATACCTGTACAGTTGTGCGCTGGTCACTTCTTTTCAAAAATTTCGTCTCCACATTGAGTAAAAAACGCCGAGCTCTTTGTCGAGACGCAAATTAATGTTCATTTATACGAGTATTTGGTGAATAAGAACATCTCGGACCAAAACAAGCGTATGTCAAAACTGTAAATCTACAAAACCCTATCATTTCCTGGAATTGTGTACATCGATGAGTTTTGAATGGCGTACTTATTAATATTTCCTAATGACGCTCCGTGTTTTACATGGCGATTTAAAAATTCCACCTCTGGAAATATTTACCGAAGTACAATGGTGAAAACATTTGTTTTTCAACTTCGTATTTCATGAAAAGCTGCATAAACTCAACGAGTTGTTAACCACGTGTGGTACTTTGAAATACTATGACGCTGTCAAATTAATTCTCCATAAAGATTCTCAGAATTAATTCTCCAATTCTGGATGCTTTCAACTGTTTGTTGGATTGAATTTCCTAAAAATGAGATCAAAGAAGACGTTAGCAATCAAATTTAACTTTTTTTTTAAATGTAAAATTATATTTCCTTTCCTATTTTTTTCGCTCAAAATCCTTCCAAATTTTGGATTAACCTTCTTATGCATTTTATGAACAATTTTCTATGCTGTCCGAATTCCGAGTACTCAAGTGTTTCAAGGCATTTACGGCTTCTTTAAAGTGAAAGTACGAACGAAATATCCGCCTCGATTGGTATGCAGGAATTTTTAGTGGGACGTAACGATTTGTGCGACTTTTCCTGGGGTCCTTCGCCATTTTCCCGCCCGTGCAAATTCGGCACGCGGCGCGTAGATCCATTTACGTGAAAAGAATCCCACTGGCTTCACTGTGTATTTGGAAACCCTCTCCCCCTCTTCCCTCTGTGTGCAATTTTTCACAACCACCCGGGTTTTTCACGCTCCTGCTGCTGATTTTCCTTTTCATTTGGTATAATTGTTTTGTCGAGCAATTTTTCGCCGAAAAAAAGTGGGAAAGGAGCGTGAAAGACAGAGAGAAAGATAGATTGACATACCCGAAAAATCGGAGAGAACAGAAGAATGTTGAGGAAAATTTGAGAGCAACAAGGTTTCCAGCTTTGCTGGGGATTTGAGATAAACCCATTCCATGAAAATATTGCCTCGTCACGAGAAACCTCGTCGCGTCTTGTATTTGCTGGCGTTGTTCTCGCCGTACGTATCGCGGAGGCGTGTGCGATGTCATCATTTCTGCCCGAGATTTGAGCTCCCTGTGAAAAATGGGCCATTGATGATGCCCTTGTTTTTATCTAACGCGAGATTGGAGCATTGAATGACTAAGAATCTACCCAAAAGCAAATAACCGGAACGCGTGGCTCTTGATTTATTTCCGACGACTGTGAACTGGGATTTCTCCTTGGTCAATTCACGTTTAACTTTTAGCACGATATATTTCAACTTCTCATTCCTGAGACGAGATGTGTATGTGATTATGAATCGAATTCATTTTTCTCGTTTTTTAGGTTTCTCTAGAAGTTTTGGCAGTTCAATATTCTTCAATGGTTCGATTTCTCAAATCAAAATCCTTCAAACCGCCATTCTGTCAATAACACTACTTGAAAAAAAAAAAACTTTTGTTCACTAGCCAATTATATTATGTACGAGGATCACCTCTGAATGCAGTCGTAATGCTGTCAAGGTGGATAAGGGGTGGGATGATGAAATTCTATTCCATGAAAATCGCGGACGTCTCCATCTATCTTGAGGCTGTGCCCGGCGAATCATAAAATTTGCAAAATATATGAACCAACCGTCACACTCCGCCCCCCCCCTTTTTTTATAAACGCGAACGCGTTCCAGATTTTCTTCCGGCTTCAAGATCTAAAGAATATTTTTTCCTCCTGTAGTATTGTTCTTTATAGTTTTTTATTCATGAACTCGGCTCGCTATTATTTCCAGTGTAATGAAAATCATAAATTTTCAAATCTTTGAATTCAACAAATGCCGCATTCCTCTTCCGAAGCAGAAATTCTTCCTGCGATTTGAAGCTATTGGAAGTTTTCCTTTTGAGATTTGATTTCGAAATTTTTCCGCCTCTCGCTGATGAATGCTGTTGAGGCGAATGAATTTCCGCTGGAAACGTACAATTTATTTCCGTCGCTTCTATAACTAAACATTTTCATGCATTTTACTGCTCCCACAGAGGAATTGGGCTAGCTTTGGAAGGGGGGAAACAATACGATTTTCATACGCGAGTGACTTTTATTCTCTTGCTAAAATTAGTATGCGTGTTCCGCGTTGTCCCCTTGTTTTCCATGCACCCACAGATATTTCATTCAGAAGGAAAACATGCCCGAGTGCGTGTATGCGGAAACGCCGGATGTGGCCCGTGTTCCTTTAATATTTTTTGCACGTTGATAATCGAGCGATCGGAATGACCCGCAAGTAAAAAATAACATAAAAATAATAATAAGAAAAAGGCCTCTTGCGAAGTTCGCTGTTCGCCCCCATCGCGACCGGCCTTAATGACGCCCCATGTTTTCGCACCTTTCTCGGGAACTACGTGTTTTTGCGAAAATCGAATTCCTGGCTCCATCAGGAATCGCTCGTTGTGCAGTAATTCTTCATACCACGTGTGTGTAGCACACGGTGCGGGCGGGTCGAACTTTTGGGGAGCGAATAGATTGACTCCTTGGCTAATTATCCCCGGCTTTCTTGTCGTGTTGTCGTCGACTTGGAGCTTTCCAAAAGTCTATTTCGCTGTGGGATTGTCGGACGTCACATTTTTGTCTCCTACATTCAAATAAATTCCTGGTCGACCGTTTGAGGCGGTAAGTTGGTGAAATGAATGACAGATGGACTCACTTCGTACAACGATTTCGTTTGCTGGCGATATTCTTCATGCAACGTTTTTTTTCTTCTTCTTCTTCGTATTCCCGCGGACCCTCTATCAATTAATGTGCGAACAGCTCTTGAGCACCTCTATTTTTTCTGTATAACGAACTATTTCTCGGTTTCCTGAGTATCTTTTCGGAGGAAATCCATCAGGTATGCCCGACTATTTTTTCGTTACAAATAGAGTAAAAGTAGCAGGAGAGGAAGAGTTAAGACTTCAACTACCACTGGGTTGAATTGGCATGACTCGACTCCTCATCAACAACTCAGTAGACCGATAGGAGTGTTTTATCGCCGATTCCTATGTCTTTGAGAAATCTGCCCAAAATATGATCATTTTAACGCATCAGCGGTGCATAACCAAATTCGTCGCCTTTAGGTAGAAATAAAAAGTGTTCGTCATTTTTAGTTTTCAACAACAAGATTGCGAAAAAAAAAGAAGAAATACTGTACTGTTCACTCATCTACGGAGGTAATTTTGGATTCGATCTCGAATTTTACTTAAACATTCCTTGTATTTCATGCTTCTGTAAAAACACAACGAAGAAAAACGAATTTCTTTCTTTCCGAAGATTCCGAGTAATGCTCCATTGCGAAATCAGAGATTTCCCGAGGAACAAAACTGGGCCAGACTATCGTGTAAGTCTGAAATCTCCAAGGTCTTGCGGCAATCTATTAGCTAATTTTTCTTTGAATAGAAGTACACATGTTCGGTACAGCACTTCATTTTGTTCCCCTCGCATCAAAATGACTCGACAAAAAAGAAGGACTGGGTAGATGACTGTCGTAGGTACAGAATTCGTGGAGA